GTCCGCCATTTTGGATCCGCCATTTTGAATTTTGGAAATCTGAGGTCATATACGTAATCAGCGACCCCGAAAACCCCCGAGTAATAAATTTCAACTGTTTTCCATGTAAAGAAAAATGTGTGCTTCAAAGGGTTAATATGTAGACAATGAAAATTCTTTATGTTTTGTTCAAATCGTGTATCTGGAATCTTGTAAACCGATAGAAAAAAAGGGATTTCGCAAGTGTAGGTCAGTGCGCCGTCATTTTAGACATAAGAAAAATAAAAAGATATTTTTTTAGTTTCTTATGTGCAATATAATGTCCTCTAAGCAGATTTTAAATAAAGTTGTCCATTTACCTACAAAAAAATCCCAAACTTTAGGTCGTTTTAAAACCTCAAGAGTGACGTAAATCCCTTAATGCGAAAATACGAACCGCAGGGTGTGTCATTTCTCATAAATATCTAAACAAATAATTATCGTTTATTTTAGAGTGGTGATGCGAAAGACTCGAAAGAAGATCCGAAAAGTTCTAAGGAGGATGAGGAAACGAGTTCTGATAAGGACAAGGAAAAGGAGGACTCCAAAAAGGAGGAGAAAGACGCTGAAACGGAGACGGCGGACAAAGAGAAGGACAAATCCGACGTGAAGGACGAGAAGGCCGCAGCGAAGCACGACGATAAAGCGGAGAACAGCGAGAATAAGAAATCCGAACCGGAGGAAGATGTTGTTATCGTTAAGGACGACGAAGAAGAAGTTGAGAAGCGAGAGGTACGTACTTTTACAAGATGAAAGAGTATTTGCGTTAATATCAGCAATATCTTAATTTGCATTGCTCTTTTTTTTCCAGGAGAAGGATAACAAAGAGAAGGAGACCAAGGACTCTGATCCAGAAGTGATGAAACCCAAGCGTAAATTCATGTTCAACATTGCCGACGGCGGTTTTACGGAATTGCACACGCTCTGGTTGAACGAAGAAAAGGCCGCGGTGCCGGGCCGTGAATACGACATCTGGCATCGCCGTCATGATTATTGGCTCTTAGCTGGCATCGTCACGCATGGTTACGGCCGCTGGCAAGACATTCAAAATGACATTCGGTAAATGGAAGTTTTTCTCAACAAATAGTTCTTGATAACAACGTCATTACGTTGAAACACTGCAAATGGTTTAATATTTTTTTTATGGGTAATAGCAAATGTCGTGTTTGGATGGAGGACGTTTATTCTTGTAACTCTTAAGGGGGGACTTTATACGACTAAAAAAAAAACAGATCTCTAAGAATTTTTTTTCAACTAAAATGAAATTAGATAATTTCAAAAGTTTAACAATGTTTTACTGTAGATTTTAGCAGTGGAAAGAAATTTTATTATTTTTTTTTATTAATAAATAATGTTTTTTTAATAAATAATAGAATGTCTTCATAATGTCGCATCACTGGAGTTGTGTATAATTTAATAGACGTAATTTTTGTCTAAAATAAAAA